GGTGATGTAGTACCTAAGGCATTTGACTGCTCACCAGAACGCTGGCTGTTCAAATCCACCAGCCACTCCCTGAAAGGAAGGTTGGGCAATCTACTTCCGTAGTGATACTGCCTCAGAAACTCAAGGAGGGGTCGCTATGAGTCAGATCTGACTTGACAGCACATAACAACAACAACAACAACATCAGTCAGCATATACCAGTTGAATAGTCTATAATCTTTACAAACTAAAAATGATTTCAGTGCATTATATATTCAGTTTTATGTTTTTATTTTTGCATTATTACACTTTTAACACCTACTAATAGCTGACATTTATTGAATACCATATTAGACCCGTATTGCCATGATAATGTGAGTAAAAAAATTGCTCTAAAAGTGTGAGGTTGAAAACAACAGGCTATGCCTCTCATGTTTGTGAGACTACAGATTGGAATTCAGCTGATCTAGTTTTAGCTCTGTCGAGTGGTTTTTCTCCCAGCTTTGGGTCAGATAGACACTGTAATAGGAGCTGTGGGAAAATCGTATAGTAAAGGGCATGAATGTAGACTTTTAATAAAGGGAAAGACTGAAGAAGTACAAACCGATTTGATCTGCCAGAAATAGTCTTTATAGACTATTATTTCATTTTACTTGTTGTTATTAGCTGCTAATGAGTTGGTTAATGAATAATAGTGACCTCGTATACAATTGAAGAAAACCATTCCCATGAAAAGTTATAGATTGGAGCTTTGTGATCCATAGGGTTTTCATTGGCTGATTTTTAAAAGTAGATCTCCGGGCCTTTCTTCCTAGTCCATCTTAGTCTAGAGGCACTGCTGAAACCTGTTCAACATCATAGCAACATACAAGCCTTCACTGACAGACAAGTGAGGGTTGCACATGAGGGACCTTGGCAAGGAATTCAACCTAGGTCTCCAACATAGAAGACAAGAATTATGCCACTGGACCACCAATGTCCCCTTATTTTACCTAGTAGAATATGTACATATATATATATA